AATCCCCCATCAGTATACTAGTAACTTATTAGACTAACTGCTTTGGCTCTTGGGTGCATACACATTAAACAGTTATATGTTTGTGCTGACAGTCATAATGACAGATAGTGACAATACCCACTGCAGAGAATAAGAAAAAAAAGAGAGGAGGAAGAGCATTTGTAGAATAAATAGAGAAAAGTATTAAGTTACCTCTATTGCTTTGTGTTTAGGGTTTGAATTTAGCCACTGGCCACCGACGTCGTCTCTGCGGGAAGATTTTAAAGGACAAAACAGCACCTTGTTTCAAAGTGATTGAGTAACAGAGTGAGACGGAGGAAAAAGATAAACAGCAAGAGGAGGATAGAAAAAGTGAGAACAAGGGGTTTTCAGTTTAAGTAATGTCTAGACAATCCCCGACCTGAATCTCTCCCAGAATAACAATGAGCTCCGTGGGAGTTCCATGGCAGGGCAGGGATTCTTCTCACTGAGGCCAGATCTCTCTGATATACCCGTGTCTCAGTGTCATAGGTCCTCCCCACATCCTCATCTTTATCCAGTCACAGGACGCCTATTCACAGCAAGCAGGGCTGTTTAATGCAGAGCTGCAGAGCTGCCTGTCTTTTTGGGTGGAGCCGCAAACTGATTTGGATTCAGGATGCATTCAACCCAGTTCTTTTGGCAACCCAGTTTTATATCCATTACATATTGCTCTCTTGCGTCATGCTTCATTTACTTTGTATTCCCCCTGTTATAAGCCCAGAGCTCACAAACATCAACTCATTCATTTCTGTCTAAATATACAGTTTGATTTTTTTATCCTGGTGTTGACATTGTGTGGCAACAGACTCCAAGACCAAGACATCTTGTAGTCCACAGACACTGTTATGAATAAGATAAGATACATCTCACAATAACTCTTGTAAACCAGTAAACCCCTCCGGCCTCGGTCATGCGCTGTGAGAGCACGGACGGGCTTGCGTGTCGGCAGGCATTTGGTCTAAATGAAATGATTGGTCATGTTTATCAGAGTCCTGCGAGGGCCACGGAAACCAATTTGTTTATTGACTGCTATCATGGTGACAAGAGAGTTTCAACAAATGGGATAAAAAATTGTTTCAGAAACAACGTACCAATCCTGTCATTTAACGTCCACTGATTAATTCCAGTATTGTTTTTTTCAAACAAACACAGTTTACTTTCATTGTCTCGCACTAACATTTGTAGCATCTGTTGGTGCTTGGATCGACGTGTTAAATACATTTTCATCCATATAAAGTGTTTGCGAAGTCACTTCTTGGAAACCCTGCATTGTTTACATTCATGTTTACATTGACTATCACATTCCTTGTTCTCCAGCTTTATTACGGTGCTTTGGGCATTAGAGCCACAGCTATTCATCTGTGGAATAGCCTCCCTTATAGCCTCCCTTCGACAGACATAGGTGTTTGTTGAACTAACTGGCAATTACCATCACACGCGAAGCTAGCAGCTGATGTTCTTCAGACTGTTTGCGACTCTTCTCTACTTCTAGTTCTTCTTATCTCCTTCATGTTTTATGACCTGCATTCACTGCACATTTGCATTTCTGCAGCAGACCTGTGTATTGCGTCACCTGCGGACTCTATGTGAGTTTGTAGAAAAAGAAAATTATAAATAATGGGAACTGGGTCGTCAAATTTAAATATAAATACCTTTATTGTATTCCCTCGTATAAGATCTGTGCCTGCATGATCACATCTACCTACTATTTACTACAATAGATGTACGTTCAGTGGCAAATTTTTATAAACATTAATGGAAAGAGTCAAAACTGCTGAAATATTTTAGGCCTGTATTCTACCTCCCCCTCCATGGTGTTTTTTCAGAAGGTCTCAGGTTGACCTCTGTGTTTATTTATCTTTAGCTCCCCGCTGGGACCCCTAACGGCAGCAGTCTCATGTGCCCAGTTTCACTAACAAGTCCTTCGCCTCTATCCTTCACATCCCCACAGAATATAAAGAAGTGTCCTTGTAATCAGTTTACCATCACTAAGTGCAGCCTGAAATGTGCCACCTCTTTTTTCCCTAAATCCTCCCTGTTTTTTGCAGCAGGGATGGCTTTCGTCAATTATGTATTCCTGGCAGAGGAAGTGACAGGGCAAACCTGTTGGCCTGCATTTTTAATCAGGTGCACTGCATTGACTGTGTAAATAGTACACATGTCAGTTCGGCAATGGGTATTTTAGTCCATATCCTTCCCTGCGTTGTTCTGTGGTTTTAGCGTGTCCATTAAGCAGAGCCCATTAATCAGGAAAAACTCTGACCCTGTCTTGTTCACCTCATATTTCCTCTCAGTCACCCGCAAACAAGACACTTTGTCAAAGACTTCAAAGTCACTTACATTCCACCCCTATCATTCCCAAGCCACGGCCAGGGTGCTTTCTATACCGCTCCGAGCCTTGTCATAGATGGGAACAGAGTGTTGTCCTTGTGGACACATTTAGAGGGGATTCTACAGTGTGTCAGCAAAGCAAAGTGGTGGGTAGGATAGCAGAGAGCACTAATGTCTTTGTGTGGGTGTGTACGTGCATGTGCTCGGCCTGATTTTGGCTCCAAACAGATGAAGCGGGAAAGAAGCCTGCTGGTTTGTAATCTATCACTTGCTCCCACCTGCCCACACAAACACATATGTTCACACACAAACACACACAGAGCCAGACAGGCTCGACGTGACCCCCAGTGCCCTGACAGAGGGAGAGATGTCTGCTCTTTGACACCGTGTCAGCGGGCCCAGATAACCACTTCGCCACGAAGCCTCTCTCTTGCTGACCAGCGAGACGTTTCCTCGCCACCGACCATGTGACCTCACCTTCCCCGAGTCCTTTACAAAGCCTGCTGTGCCCTGCTGTGTCTTATAAATGAGCAGTCGCACACACTGTGACTCATTTTCAGAGATGTGTCACAGCGTACAGCAAAGACACTGATATACACACTCGTAAAACAGCTTTGTTTTTGCAGAACTAACTAACTTTTTTCAGAACAGACATAGCGACAAAGCCTCAGAGGTTTATTACCTGACTCAGCAGTTCCCCTCTGCTCTTCAGAGCTTTCTCCCAATGCAAATTATTTTAGAGTTTCACTGTGCTGTTTTCAGTGATCTCATCAGCCAGCAGCTGTTTCAGCATAACATTTTTTAATAAATATTATCTCCAAGATTCCAAACCAGCAACAAAAGGCAGAAAACAAAGCAACCACTTGGAGAACTTCCGCCATAAGGAGCCAGATATATTTCTCTGTGGTGGTGGTTTGGAGTTGGTGGAGAACAAAACTGAGCCAAAAGTAAAGGGAACAAAGGATTCAAATTTGTCAGGTAGCCATGGACATGTCTTCAAATGAATGTGTCTGGTGGGTGTGTTCATCTGTTTGGTTGGGTAATGTGACAACATGTTAATAATAACCTTCCCGCTTGATGCTCCAAAACAATGCAGAGAACACGCCCCATATTTTATAGCTATTAATTGCATGAGGTGGATCCTTTTACGAGTCAGTTCATCCAAAATTACAAAATGGCGGGTTCAGTGGTATCTTGACATGTGGATGGAGATTAGGTTTAGCCTGACAAGGTTTTAGATGAGATTTATTTGAATTAAAGTTTGTTTGTAATGATCATAGTTTTGACAACTGGCAGAGTCTTTTTTTCAGAGTCAGTGTCACTCTTACTTTGGATAATCCACAGACCTCAGAATTATATTTCTTCAGTAAGAAGTGCATTTTTTCCTGGAACGACTTTCTCACATTCAGTTCATCTCGACTGTAATGCAGTGCAGGCAGAAAACATCAATACTGATATGCTAAAACCTGGTGAAACAAAATAAACACAGTCAACATAGCTACAACAGATAACTATGTGTTTTGTGATTTGGGTGGCCCATCCCTTTAATGTAACATTTTCTCCACCTCTCCCCCACTCTTTATCCTTGACTCTTTCAAAGACTCTCCCACTCCCTATCTCTCTCTCTCACACACACAAACACACACACACACGCGCGCTTACGCTCTCACCCAAACACGTAAACGGTCACCTCCAGCGGGAAGCGGAATTGGGCTGTCAGTCAAATGGACAACCTTAAAAGGGCACAGAATCCTGCAGCAGGTATTAATGAATGAAATACAGCACCAACACCCGCTTCCCCCCGACCACAACACACACTCGCACAGGCACACACTCACACACTTAATGCGAAGGCTGCCTAAACTGAGGTGGCCCATCATCCACCGAGGCAGCTGTTCCACATCACCTGCATCTATTTTGGATGCACATGATTTCACAGTCCTTCAACCTGGCTGGAGTTGGTTTTGATTTTCACCTTTTGCAGACAGGAAATATTTAGACTACAGGGAGAGCAAGAGATGTATATTTAGAATTCACTGCGTCTAATATTTAACAAATTACCCAACATGCAGCTTGGATCTATAATGAATGACAGAACTAGGAACATTGTTTCCTCTTTGGCATCGTCATGGCAATAATCTGGCTCTGCACTAACCAGCATTGTCTCAGTATGTGGATCTTTTCCTGACATTCGCCTCCACTTCCTCTCTGTCCCCTTGACTTTCTCTCGACTTTGTTAATGAAGCAGAGATAAAAATCTTCCACTGGTATTATTATTATTCTAATAAGACTATCATTCTCATTACTTGGGGGAGGTGTGTGTGTGTGTGTGTGTGTGTGTGTGTGTGTGTGTGTGCGTGTGTGTATATGCGTGTGTGTGTGTGATTACAGTATGTCTGCTGAACTTGGCAATGTACACATGATTAGTAATGAAAGCCAGTATTGGCAGAGTAAAACAGACACAAGCTTTGGACTTCATTAACTAAAATCCTCTGTCTGTCATGCTGCTGGTTGTTTCTCCATGTGTCTTTTATATTTATGTTGATGCAAATTAAATTATTTGTGTGCACTGATTTATATCTCTAATCCTTAATGTCTGCATCTGTGTCCTCCGCGCCACTCCTCATCTGCCCATCTGTTCGCAGGAAATGTTCACACCGGAGTGCAAGTTCAAGGAGTCTGTTTTCGAGAACTACTACGTGATCTACTCGTCCACTGTGTACCGACAGCAGGAGTCGGGCCGAGCCTGGTTCCTCGGCCTCACCAAGGAGGGGCAAGTAATGAAAGGCAATCGGGTCAAGAAGACTAAACCCTCATCGCACTTTGTGCCCAGGCCCATTGAAGGTATGAAAACGCTTGTGGAAAATTCTTTATTTGCTGATAAATACTGCTTAATAACCCACCTGTGAGAATGCATGTTTTGTCCCTCTTAACCATAAATTCTGCACCTTATTACTGATACTACTGTGAATTTACTGTATTAGATATATAACCTCTATCATGTTTCTCGTTCAAGCAGTGTTTGATAGATATTATCATGAGAACTTGTCAAGCATTGTGGAAAGAAAGTGCTGACTTGGTCCTAAATACCCATCTTATCCATCCCAGCCTGGTATAATTATCCCTCCAGCCTCACACCTGACCTTGTCTCCGTCTGCACATTCATCTCTCCAATCTCAATTGTCCCCTTTCTGAGCTCCTCCCCCTCTTTGTCCCTCTCCTTTCCTCTCCTCTCCTCTTCGCTTCTCTCCTCTCCTCAACTCTCCTTTCCTCCCCCGGCATCTCCACTTCAGTTTGTATGTACAGGGAGCCGTCACTGCATGAGATAGAGGAGAAGCACCGCTCCAGAAAGAGCTCAGGGACTCCCACCATGAACGGAGGGAAAGCTGTCAATCAGGATTCTACATAGCAGCAAAGAGGAGGGGCTTCCAGCTGGGATGGGGGAGTGGCTTCATCCTGACTCAAGGGGCGGGGGCCATCGGAATACTCGCTCCCCCCCAAGATACATACCACTATCCCCTCTGAAGACGGGAGCTACGTATTACTGTACACCCGAGACAACAAAAACTGAACTATTGCCTGTGAAATACTTTTAGATGAATTAATATGAAACCAGAGGATATATATATATATGAAAAAAAGAATATTTTCAATCAGGACTTGACCAACATTTTATGCAAAAAAAGAAAAAAAGCTGTGATAAACAAAGAATGGTGGTCTCTCTTCACACAAATACAAATATCTATCATTTCCAATTTATGCTGTGAAAAACAAGCTTTAATACATGTTCAATTTCCACAAGGTGAGTTTTTTTTAATCTAAATGCTAATGCACTCTCATGTGCTTAATTGTGTTATTGCCGTCAGTAATATCTATATCATCATCATCAGGTTAGGCATTGTTTTTGAGATCATTTTTTATTTTACTGTTATTACTCCTTTATTTTTTTTCTCTCACAGTTTGATCTCCCATGTACTGTCACACTACCTGCTCTGGTGTGAGGGTAAGACTGAATGTATTTGACAGTTCTCTATGTTGAACTGAGACAGAGCGCTTAGGATGGGATATAATACTCAGGTGTGTACTGTACGTTAGACTTATGAGACTAAATGGACAGACAGAGCTGTTAGAAATAGTTGGACACAAACTCCCCTACGTTGTCCTGCTATGACGGGACAGGACTGATAAAAAGCAATATAATAGCAAGCGATTGAGTATAATACGCTAATACTCTGACAACACATCGCTGTGATTGTCAGTAGAGAAGACTGATGAAGAAAAGTTGTTTGAGGAGGTAAAATCGAGGGTAAAACTGTTTTAAACTGTTTCAGTAAACTTTGTAAGGTTTATGAGGTTGTATGTAGAGATGTCCACACTCATCTACTATTCTCTCCAAAACCTGAGAAGAAAATAAAGACCAGCATCAGCACTACGAGCCATGGCCAGAAAAAGGTCACTTCACATTTGCACCTCAAGAAACACAGACCCCTTTTCTTTCCACTGATATCTAGGTTATAACAACAACTCCCCAACTGTATCTACATACCATCATTCATGCTTTTGGTCTTTACGGACGAATTGTGAAATATTCCTTTCTAAAGAGGATGTCTTTTAAATGGAAGCTGTTTTGACAAGAGTTGTGTTTCTGTGATTTCCTGTTTCTTTTATTGTAAAGGCATTAGAGGTTCCTCAGCACAGGTCTGACTGCCTGACTGTTTAATCATCCACCAACTTGACCTGTTGATATCGTCGATTTGGTGTCGCTATCACAGAGACTTTCCCGTCACAACGGAAGCAGAGTGCTTCAATGAGGAGCCAGTATATCTGGAGTTAACCAGGTTCTAGGAAGTGTGTTTCCATCCCAGTGAAAGCTGTTTGTTCTCTCGTACATGGTCCTGATTTAGTGACCCATGAAAAGAGCCATTTGCTCCATTGTGGAGGAAAGTCAGGTCTGTGTATGAGAAGGTGGATTGACCAGTACACCGCACACACTGCGTACACTCTCATAACTCATTCCTAATCCCCCGATTAGTTCGTCTAACTCAGGAAGTCCTCCTATTGTTCCGTGAATGGGACGAGATGAGCAATGGCTGACCGCCTGTCTTCCAGCCCCCATGGCACAAAGCCTGGCCACTGACCAGCGTGGTGTTTAAAGAGGTCGGGATGGGGTTGATGGTGTTTTTGTCATTTTAAAGACAGTGTACAGCTAAGCTCAGCCAGGTTAGGAAGTTTGATGAAGGGACAAGAGGAGGTCTGACAAAGCATGAACATTGCATGATTGTAAAAGTTGATGTTAGCTTTGTTTGATTTTGAGGTGAGAGCAGGAAGAATTGTGGAAGAATAGCTGCAAAACCTTTTAATGCAACATTTTAATCAGTATTTGCAGCGAGAGCTCCTACATCTCTCCTGTAACTGTTTGGAAATGTTGTGCTGGGTTGGTGGTATGTACAGTAAATAGCACACATTCAGCTGCACAGAGCAAAGCGCAGTGATATATCATCATGGATCTGGGAGAGTCTTCCATCTGGGGCCTGGATCCATCGCTGGTGCAAATAACCTGCAAGAGCTAATGGTAGATTAGTTCAACTTCCACAGCACCTACAGCATTACAGAGATACACACAGTATATTTGACTCTGAAAGTCAACAGGCAAGACCAGCATATATCAGAATGTTTTTTATAGAGGTTTATATTGGTGCAAATGAGATACATGTGGATTCAAAGCAATGCATGAAATTGGATGTACCCGGTGTCAACTGTTGAACGAGAGACCTGGAGGAAGAGATGAGGAAAAGAAAGGAGGTGAAAACAGATGAGCAGTAACGCAGAGCACTTTTGGTGGGTTTATCGATGTATGACAGGGTGAGCGAAGGTTTCGGTTGTACGTGGTATCAAGTATAATTTGTTACTTTTATGTTTGCAGAGGATTTCACTGCATCGGAACACGCTCATATATGCATTATGAATTGTGAGATGAAATTAAAAATATGCATTGATAATAAAAATCAGAATGAAGTTAGTGATTGTTTAAGAATAAAAACTATGTTATCAAAAACTTTCACATGCACCCAAGTGATTGATTCAGTGTCGTTGATTGTGAGTGACTGTGTATCTTATCTTCTTTATTAGTGTTGTTCCTTGCATCAACAAGAGAAACCGCAGGATAAGCAGACAACCTAAATCCATCAGTGTTGGGGCTTTTTAAAGCGCTTCAGTCAGATTCAGAGAATCCAATGTGTTTATCAATTCACTGGGGCTGAGTTATCGTCTTGCCGGCCCCTAAATCCGTTGTCATTTTGGGGATGGCGCGCCTTCGCCCTTAATTCTCCCGTTGTCATGGAAACAGACCTTCCGTGCCGTCTGCAAGGAGAATGAGGAGGAGGAAGAGGAGGAGGAAGGCTCCCCTGACTTTCAGGACGTGGCTTGTGTTCTCTCTCCTTTGCGATGGCTGCAGCACAGAGAAGAGCAGAGTTGGAGGAGGGGTAGTTTGTTCTCTTGTCTTTTTTATTGCGCTGTTTTCTTTAGTTACAGTAAACAGCTGAGCTGAGAGCAGCACCGCAATCTATAGGGACAAAAATGTGTATTTAAACATGATGAGATAAACAAAGAGAAATAGAATGGACGTAGAGCGCATTTCTCCGCCGAGGCCCAACAGTCCCATTAAATTAAATCAAGCTGCACCAAACTGCACACACTTATAGAAATCGTCTCCTAAATATACCTGATTATTTCCTAAAGATCTGTGACTTCTCCAAAGTCAGTAGGGTTGATAATATGGAAACTACAAACATCTGCAAAAACTTTGGGTACTCATTAAAACCTTAAAATATACATCTTTGAAAGAGTAAAAATTTAGACTTGTGATACTGAGAGAAAAGTGATGGGACCACTAAACTGTTTATGTTTCCTCTTCAGGATGAATCATTGTCATTGAAATTAAACTAGACTACTAAACTTACAGAAGCTATGATCACGTTTCTCGTGCAAAATATATCAGAAATGCACAGCAGCTAAATTTATTGCAGAATGTATTGATATCCAAATCTTTGTGCAATCACAAAATCACAGAGCAAAAACTAACACTTTCTCCTGATCAATATGCCGTGCTACTCACAGCATCCGCCTCTGTAATTAACTTTTTTACAACAGAAACAGAACAGAACAGAAACAAGTCAAGGTCAGCTGTTTGGACACCCATGGGAGTCGGGAAGGCTCATCTGTTTAGGGACACGTCAGGAGGGCAAGGCTTGGAAACAGCTTGAAGGCCATTTTCTCCTCCTTCTCTCTCCAGCTACAGCTCCGCCTGTGGTCCTTATTTCTCTCCTCATCTCCACCTGTCCTCTACCACCTTCCCCCTTTTCTAACAATTAACACATATTAACCTAACTACAATTTGCATGATGAAAAGTCAATTTACCAGAATTACAGTTTTCCCAAACTTTTTTTTCCCACCTCCACAAGGAGAGTTGTTTTTTGTGGGGTGGGAAATGACCCAAATAAGGATAGAGATATTGTGTGTTTTTCAACATTTTCATTGATTTCTCAGATTATCATTCATGCACCTTGATGGAAAACATCAGGCATGTTTAAGGAACAAATATTTTTGAGTGTGTGTAGTTTGGTGCGGCTCCAAATAAAATCTGGATGTAATGAAAAAAATGTTTTATTATTCAGTTTCACAAAAAAATACATTAAACACAAACAGAGAAACAAAACTGAAATGAAATAAAGTAAATCTCAGCTCCGCAATTAAACACCTTTTACCCCTCAATAATTTTGCTGTAACATAAGATTCAGTGTCATAGATTTGTTTGATTTGAAAATAATTAATTGTGGTTTTTACACAAAATATTTGAACAGTTTTTCTTCAAATGTATCAAGTAGCTTTTCAATTGTGTTAAACTTCATGATAAATCACATCTTTACAAATATTGTAATTCAGCTACCTCAAAAAAAAGTGTTGAATGATGTGTTTGCATTGAGCTTCATCAACAACACTAACACCTATTTCTTACCTGTACTGTTATTTCAGCGAGCCTGTACATGACTTTGTCTTCTTCATCCTTTTACCCAGGCATCCTCCCTCCCCATCTACCTACCTCTTTTTTGGCCTGTTGTTTTTTAGGTATGGGCCTGAGCCACTGGGACTCCACTTGTTTCTCTTTTCTCAGCGTCCCAGCGAGAGAATGAGGGAACTCCTACTCAGAAGTGGGGCGTTCAGTTCTACTCATTAAAAATAATTGGTCTCAGTTCAATTAAGGGCTCAGTGATGCTGCTTTGATCCAGGCGGCTCACTGTGTTTTATCTAAGTCTTTTACATTGAAATCAACTGTTCCGAGTTGGCAAGTATTGGGTAAATTGGTTCTACTGTGTTTACTTCCAGAAGAAGGGAGGGAGAGAAGAGGAGCTATACTCCGGTAATGATTATACACGTTTGAATGAAATGAGCTTTGATGGTTAAAGACGCCGACATCAAACCTTCCCGACTCTGCTGCGGCACCTTGCGAGACAGTCCCTGGACGACAGAGACGGATCACTTTGCCTTCTCTCTGCCTTCTTTTTCTCTGTGATTTGTTGCTCTTGGCTTCTCCTGTTTGCAGATGAGTACCGCAAGGGATACTGCCAGAGAACACGCCGGTACCAAAGAGACATAAGACACATAAAAGTTCATGCACAGTGCACACATGCACCCACTCTCCCAGCCACATGCCCACACATCCTCTCACACAGGCTATATTTCTCACTCTCACACACGCTCACCGTCACTTTATGGAAGAAGCTCTGCAGTATGAGCATGTTAATGTGCTGGCAGTGCTTCCTGACACAGAGGGAAGCTGTTCTCTTGAATCCTAATAGCCCAGGGACAGAAAAGGATACTAAGCCAAGCCTTGACTGCAGTTATGATCTAACACTGCTTCTTTAATCATCCCTTTTTCTCATCCCTTCTCTTTCTCTCCATCCTTCTTCTTTCTCAGTTTCCTAATCTCCAGTCCCTCTGCACATCTCCATCTATTTATCCTCAATCTAGCTTTCCTTACCAACACACTACATCCAACCCATTTCCCTCTTTTCTTTTCTCTCTTTTCATAGGAAATTCGCGCAACAGAGTTCTGCAGGCATGCATAATACTGAGCACACACACAGTGGATATCAATGCATCTTTCAGCAGAAATGCCTCTAAGATATGCATTAATGCAGAGCCACATAAACGCACGATCATCAGTGCAGTTTTCATGTAAATCGGCACACACATAGACATGTATGTGGAAACGTGCAAAAGCAATACATTAGTCTTTTATCCAAAGCTACACTACACTTACCTTGGGAAAGATATGCTTTGATCAATGGTGTAACAATTCAAGGAACATTCGACACACACTGAAAATGATGAATGGATGTCTGTAAAGATTCTGGTTTATTGCTTTGCTGGTATAACATGAAGATCAGCGGGAAACATCAAACACACTGCGGGCATTTATTACATTTAAACTCTATGTGGATTTGACAAAGGGAAGAACAGCCTCCTCTGCTGGAGTGAAAAAATGTGACAGAGTAGAAAAGTACTAATCAAAGAGGGCCTGTACAGAACTGAATGCTATGAGGAATGAATGAATAAATGTGGGTTAATTTGAATGACTTCGTAGAAACCACATGCACGCTCAAACACAGCGGTTCGTTCCACAGGACAGTGGAGCACAGTTGGTGTTAGAGGAAGCCCACTGAGTGTCAGCAGTAGTTATTTAACCAACTCTATGACGAGCAGGACACGCAGGGCTCAGCAGAAGCTTTTCGGTTGTGTCATTTCATTTACTGCTCATTAAATATTCAGGGCCCACTTCATTGCGCGTGCCTCCTCCAGACAGTCGATGGTGCATTGAATAATGCAAACATTCAGAGAGCAGGGGGGGTCACCTATTGTTCGGCTTCCTGCAATAAAAGTGTCAGAGGTGCTTTTAAACAGATATGAATGTTGGTGCGGCTCCAAGTGGCTTCAGCATTTCTCTAGTTTGAGCAGTGAAGTAAAATATGACTGTCAAAGACTTTTATTCAAAGTGGGACCATTTAGCATTTTCTGTGACACTTAAAGTATAAATATGAAAGCATGGTGTAACTGTTGAATCAAAATGTGAGAGATATATAGAGATATCATTTTAAACACTGCTGACATTAAGCTACAGCTTGTAAAAAGTGAGACTGAAGCAACAACAGAGAAATGAACTCTAAGTTTTTGTTTTTTAATCAACATGTAGCAGGATTACGCAAAAACTATTGGGGGACGGGTTTTTTTTTCTCAATTTCTTTAACATTGCCCGATCTCTTTTTCAACAATTTCACATCTCATTTCAGAGGTGTATAGTAAAATGGACCCTTAAATTAGTAATAAATGAAAGTATGAAAAGAGAACGAGAGACTTGAATTGGTTTGGCATTCAGTCTGGCTCCTGAATGAAAGCAAGGTTAGCAGGAAGCCCAGGATTTCCAGAAGTAGACTTTGCAGCCGATTCTGCGAGTTGCATTGCTTCTTCCAAGGCCACGTCGAATCTTCTCCTGTTTCTCGGTGTCTTTGGGCCACTGGAGCGTAATTCCATTTTCAAATTCAGGAATCAAATCTGCAAATGTCCGAGTCTTTGCTGATTCCTATGGAACAATACACATAAAAATAATGTGAAAAATTATAAAGAACAGACTGGGCACGTAAAAAACTTTACCTCAGTATATCTATACGTTTCAAATACCTATCTGTACATTTGTTTTATGTTATAAATCATTTTGCTTGAACATTTACACTTATTGATTGTTGGCATGAAAGTAAAGTTGCGTAAGTACTCCATGTTTAGTCTGCACATTCCTGGAGGTGCAGTTCAGAGTATAATCAATGAGAGAAAGACTGGTATCTCCACAGAACCAGAATCAAATCTCATTAAAAATAAGATATAAATGTGCAAATATGAACAAACTTTACAATTTGAGAAACTATA